TTTTCAGCCTGGAGAAGAGAAGACTTATGGGACACCTAGTGGCAGCCTACCGATACCTACACAGGGTTCATCAACAATATGGAGCTAGCTCTTCACAGTGGTGCTTGGCAGTAGGACAAGCGACAATGGGCATTAAGTTGAAACGAGAGGTTCTGACTGGATGTAAGGAGAAACATTTTCACCAATGAAGATAGACCTGCATTGCAACAGGCTGTACAGTGAGGTTGTTGCAGTCTACATTCTCAGATGTTTCCAAGATCAGACTGGAAAAAGTTCTGAAAAGTGTGATCTGACCTGACTGATGACCCTGTTTTGAGCAGGAGGTTGGACTATATGACCTTCCTTCCAATCTGAAATATTCTATGATCCTTGATTGTATTTTTATGATCGTTAGTTCATAAAGATGTAAGGTTAATGAAACAAAATGGATAGTATTGTTCCCGGAAAAAAATCGCACAAACCCAGTACTGCAACACGCATGAAATGGCTTCATTTCATAAGAATACTCGTGAACCAGCAACGAAAATTGTTGTTCCCTATTTTTCCTTTCTGGCAGTGCCTTTCTAACATACAGAGTAGTTCAGGCTATATTTTTCTGAATATCCCTATAGATAAGACATGTCAAGGACAGTTTTTGGCTGAATAATCAATTAGCAGGGAATCCACAGAAAAATTCTTTATGAGGAGACACCTCTTCTACTAATGTTAAACACGCCTTTTTGGCTGATTCACAAGGCCCATTAAATGGAAATATTCTGAAATAGTCCAAAGAATGCCATCCATTCCTACCGCACAGTACTGAACTACTTAGCAGAAAAATACAAATTAGAATATGCACCATCAACATCGCTAAGTGTCTTTATTCAGAGATTGCATTTTCAAGTATGACCTTCGACTTGTTTCATTCCATCTCAGCAGAGCAGTTTACTTTGAAGTGCTGATTTGGAGAGTTTGTTCAGTTGTTTTTCAGAGTAGAAGATAAATAAAAACTTTCTCAGAAACATCTGTCAGTGACTGTACTGATTGTTAAATTGTCATTTGTTTCTCTGTCTCTTGTTTAATATTTCTAAAGAATAAACCCATTATAACTCCATGGGCAGTCACTCTGGAAGGCATACAAATCCCATGAGTCATTTGCATTTAGACATTTCTAATTTGGCAATAGCATTAAACATTTTGGTAAAGGAGACTACATATTTATTGGCATGCTGGTATGGCCTTTTGAAGTCCCCAGGCATTTTAGAAAAAATGTGTGTGATCCAAGGAAATACTTTCACATGAAGTTCTTGCATTTTGAAGAAGAGAGTCATTTACTGGCCTTTCAGGCTTATGATTAGTTGGCTCAGAAACCTATGTATCATCATCCATTCTGTGTTTGGCTCATACAAAGAGTTACTGTAGTAGTAACTGGGACTGCACACAGACATAATGAAGACTGTCAATCTCTTGGACCATGTAGAAACAATCTGCCACCAAAAAAGTGTCTGTAGAACAAAAAAGAGCAATGAAGAGGCTTCTTTCTTTCTTGTTTTCTAAGGGTGATAATCTGCCATATATACATATTTGCTTTATTAAAATTGTGGTGTAGCACTTCAGAGAACATTATTTGTGTACTTAAAGCATGGCTCAGTTTCCCAGACAATCTTAAAAACGTTTTAACAAGAGAATTAAAATAACATCAAAACAGACAATAATTTGTGGAGAAATTAAAGTAAGTGAAAGTATTACAGCTGAATGGAAAAATATTTGCAATGATATAATCATTGATGAGCAAGTGTGTCTTTGAGAGGAGCATCAGGGAAAGGTGTACTTTGCCTTTTCATTTATGACAACCACAACTTCATAATTACCAAATACTAAATTATATTCTGTAATACTTTTTCTGTGACATTTTTCCTTCTGGGCATTGAGTCTAGCTTAATTATGGAATTCAAGTTGACTGTAGGCAACTTCTAGGTCTTCTGAAGAAGGCATGACATTCCTGTATTACCTTGACATTGTCAGATCTTGAAATAACATTTTGGCACCCAAGACTGATCTGATATGTTTGGAAAATCAAAGGAAAATGTCACATTTTTACTCCCTGGGAGTGGTATATAGTGATGAACAATAGCTATTATACTTTTAGGTCCCTGTTCATATAAATCGTACATGTGTTACTAATTTTTTAACAATGTAACAATAATATTTGCTCATTAAAATAGAAATTTTCTACCTTTTGTACTCTGCAACAGTGAATAATATGCTGAGAAACAACATTATTGTGTGCTGGTTTTGGCTGGGATAGAGTTAATTTTCTTCATAGTAGCTAGTATGAGGCTATGTTTTGGATTTGTGCTGGAAACAGTGTTGATAATACAGGGATGTTTTAGTTACTGCTGAGCAGTGCTCACACAGAGTCAAGGCCTTTTCTGCTTCTCACCCCACCCTACCAGCAAGTAGGCTGGGGGTGCACAAGAAGTTGGGAGGAGACAGAGCTGGGACAGCTGACCCCAACTGACCAAAGGGATATCCCATACCATATGACGTCATGCTCAGCATATAAAGCTGGGGTAAGAAGGAAGGGGGGGATGTTCAGAGTGATGGCGTTTGTCTTCCCAAGTTACTGTTATGCGTAATGGAGCCCTACTTTCCTGGAGATGGCTGAACACCTGCCTGCCGATGGGAAGTAGTGAATGAATTCCTTGTTTTGCTTTGCTTGCGTGCGCGGCTTTTGCTTTACCTATTAAACTGTCTTTATCTCAGCCCACGAGTTTTCTCACTTTTACCCTTCCGATTCTCTCTCCCATCCCACTGCGGGGGGAGTGAGCGAGCGGCTGTGCAGTGCTTAGTTGCAGAAGGAGGAATAAACCCCAAAAATTCTACTATTACTGTGTGTAATATTGAACAGAAACTTAAAGCAATAGCTAACAGAATTAAATTTTTTCTGGATAGACTAAAGAGGTTAGACATCTTTCCTGAATTAGCTGTAGTTGTATCCAAATGAGGAAAAGTGAAAGCAGAGTAAGATTTAATGAGTTAAATTTTGTGGTGTGATGCAAAATGGAGAGGAGTCATCAAGGCACCAGCTGATTTTGCTGCTATTCAGAAGAAGCCCAGCTGGCTGCAGAAATAAGCAGACAGGAATCTCCTGAAGTTCAGCAAAGCAAAATGCAAGTCCTGCATCTGGGAAGGAATTACCCCATGCAGCAGTACTGGCTGGGGGCCAACTGGTTGGAAAGCAGCTTTGCAGGAAAGGATGCTGGTAGACAAGTGGAAGAAGAGCCAGCAACGTGCCTTCTGGCAAAGGTGGACAGCAGCATCCTAGTCTGCATTAGGAAGAGTATCACCAGCAGGTTGAGGGAGGTAATCATTCCATTTTAAGCACTGGTGAGACCCCCATCTTGAGTACTGTGTCCAGGTTTGGGCTCACCAGTACATGGACATATTGGACCAAGTCCATCAAAGGACTGTGTGGATAATTAAGGAACTAGGGCTTTTGACCTATGAGAGGAAGATAAGAGAGCAAAGGCTGCCTCAAGAGGAGAAGGCTCAGAGCAATCTTATCAATGTGTACAAAATCCTGATAGGAGGGAGTAAAGAAGACAGAGCCAGACCCTTCTCAGTGGTAACCAGTGGAGAGAAAAGAGACAATGAACACAAATTAAAATACAAGAAATTCTGGTTCTACATCAGAAAAGAACTACACTGGAACAGAGAGGCAGTGGAGTCTCCATCCTTGAGGAAATCCAAAACCCACTGGCACTGAGCAACCTGCTCACTGAGCAACCTGCTGTACTTCACTGTCTGCTTTGAGAAGGGAGGTGGACAGGACAATCTTTCAAACTCAGCTAGTCTGTGATTCTGTGAAAAGCACACGGCAGGCCAAAAAGAGTTTAATGAACTATATGTAAAAGGCATAAAAATTAATAGTAAATCTCTTTTCAAACTTATCAGGAGTAGGAAGCCAGGTCAATACTCAACTAAGTTGTAAAGAGAGTGCTTAAGAATTTTAAGCCATACCAGAAAAAAGTAAGGTTTTTTGCATTCATGTTGACCATGGAAGAGTTAAAATTCCTGCAAAAGAATATTCTTGGGAAATTCAGCAGACGATATGTCTAAAACGGAAGTCTTTGTAAGAAAAGGGTAGGAAACACACTGATTAAGTGAATGGCAACAAATCATCACAACCAAACAGTATTCACCCACAAGTTCTGAAGGATCCAACAATGAAAGAGCTGAAGTATATGCTGCATCAGGGAAATGTGAGCATGGTTTCTGTAAAGTAATTTCTCACAAACCTACTGGTTTTCTCTAAAGGAATCAATGAGAAACTGGATAAAAGAAGAATGCTTGATATAAGCTGTATGGAAAGCTTCATTGTGAGGAATGGACTGGAACATTTCAGCCTGGCACAAAAAGGAGGGGGAACACAATGTGATAGGAATCTTTAAAATCACAAATGTTATGGTGAGTAAGGAACAACTGTTTACTCTGTCTTCCAGTAGAGTAACCACCAAATGAAAGCTGCAGTTAGCATGTTTAGAAGGGCAAGCAAAAGGTGAAAGGCCTTCACAAAACATGTCATTAAATAAGCTAAGGCACTCTGCAGCAGGAAGCTGAGGCTGGTAAAATTCCCATGGGTTAAAAAACAAAGCAAGAAATTCAAGGGTGAAAAACTCAGCTGAGGTCCACTAAAGACAAACAGATACACTCCTGGCTCAAGCATTTCCTGAGATGGAAATTGTTGCAGAGTAAAAGAGTATTCCCGGTAAGTGTCATAGTTATGTCCCTGATCTGTTATTACACTCTTCCCAAAGTACTGATTGCTGATTGTTGTCAAACATAACAGATTTTTGATCTGGCGCAGTGCAGTCATTCTTATGGATGGGTGCATGTTGTTCTCACAGGTGCCTTTGAAGTTGCCACATATGAAAAACTAGTGACAAATTCCAGACCTCGGTATCTAAAAAAGTAATATTAAACCAGAAATGTAAATCAAATAAATCAAATAAATTTACCCTTATGGGAAGATGAGAAGGTGCAAGGACTTCTTGTGTCTCAGAAATACCTTCATGTTCTTGAGTGCTGCCATTGCCACTGATGTCCCCTGAAGCCTGTGCAAAACCCAATCATGATAGCAAGTTCATAAAAGCCAGGAAAAAAAAGTATGATCTCCAAGGAATTGGCTACTTCAATGCAGAAAAAACTTTTTTTTTTTCCAGTTGGTTGAAGCCTCAGTGTCATTATGGTGTTAACTTATTTCACTACTTACAGCATTTCATGAAAATGACCCTTCAGAAAAATAAAAGATAGTTCATAGAATCATAGAATCATTAAGGTTGGAAAAGACCTCTACGATCATTGAGTCCAACCGTCAACCCAACACCACCAGGCCCACTAAACCATGTCCCTAAGCGCCTCATCTACACGTCTTTTAAATACCTCCAGGGATGGTGACTCAACCACTCCCCTCGGCAGCCTCTTCCAATGTTTAACCACTCTTTCAGGAAAGAAATTTTTCCT